ACTCTATTACTGACCTGTCAGGTTGGCTGGGACTCAGATAAGGTGATGCAAAGGAACCAGGAAGCTCCTATGTAAGGAAAAACATTTTGATGTTGACATCTGTGGAAATACCCCTCCCCCCAATCCAACCCACACACATACAAAAATAAACCCTGGAATAAATCCCCCGTTCACCAAAAGGGTATTTGAATTCTCTTGCTCTGTGCTAGTGCTGATTATGTATGACAATAGTGTCTGCAGAGACTGCATCCTGTGAGCTAATGAAACAAGAGCCGCTAAGGAGCCACTTAATAGTGACAAGAAGAGGACACATCATAGAGGCAGTGAGTATAATGACTGTGGAAAAAGGCGATACATGCATGTTGCTGTGAGTAAAAGTAATGTGCAGAGGCAAGAGAGATGAGAAACGAGCCGCTAAGGAGTCACAAAGAATTCTGAATGTAATGAGTGTAAAAATATATGCATAATACTAGATATTATAGTAATGTGTAGAGTTATTATTACTGTTGTGTAATTGTAGTTCTTACAGCCGCACCATAAAATGTTACATCAGCCGTCAACTCATATTTAATTGCTGCTTCCATTAGTAGAAAAGGATTTTTAGAAATCCCAATGACTTGAATCCTTTGATTCAGATGATCTGTTCTGATTCATTCACTGATTCAGTAACCCTTTCTGCAGGTTACATTGTTATGCCAGTAGACTGTTAGGCAGTAAATTGTGTGAGGGATTCATTAAAGGAAAGGCTCACCCAAAAATGAAAATGCACCCACCCTCAGGCCATCCAAGATGTACATGAGTTTGTTTCCTCATCAGAACAGATGTGGAGAAATTTAGCATTACATCACTTGCTCACCAATGGATCCTCTGCGGTGAATGGGTGCCGTCAGAATGAGAGTCCAAACAGTTGATTAAAAACACCCCAAGTAATCCACACGACTCCAGTCCATCAATTAACATCTTGTGAAGTGAAAAGCTGCGTGTTTGTAAGAAACAAATCCATCATAAACCATCGCATAATCCATAATTATGCTTCCTAGTGAAAAAGTCCATCCCCTGTTGTCGTCTCACATCAAAATCCACTGGCCTATTTGTTTAGAACAGTTTGCACTTGGAAACAGTACTTGATCTGTGCCTATTTCTCTACTGATTCAGGTGAGACGACTTTGCGTGAATTACTTGTGGATTATTGTGATGTTTTTATCAGCTGTTTAAACTCTCACCCATTCACCGCAGAGAATCCACTGAAGTGCATGTAATGATACATTTTTACGAATGTTCCAATAAAGAAACAAACTCATCTACATCTTTGCATGGCCAGAGGGTGAGTAAACTTTCAGCAAATATTTGAGTGAACTACCCCTTTAATCATTCACTCAACAATTTGTTAATAAACAAGCTGTTCATGATCTAAGTAGTGAACAGAGGCCTATCTAATCTAGAAAGAGATTTGTAGAAAGAGTGAGACAGAAATGACAAAACTCACATCTATTTTTCTAAAATTGCAGAGCATTACTGAAATCAAGTCACTGATTCAGTGACAGACTCAAAACAGCAGCTGAATTCGGAAGAGTGCATTAGTGCCTGACCACTTTTTCAGATGTTTTTTTATATATATATATACATATTTATCATAGGGATTTTAAAAAAGTCTTCATTTAAGCGTTATAAACCATGAACCAAGCCAACTAGCGACAAGGTGAATCATAACATACAAACTTTTACTTGAAGCAAAAAAGTATTTAAGACTGTGTAGGTGTGTACTTAGCGGCGTTAGTGAAGAAAAGAACAACAATCCCATGAAGCATTGCGAAAGACAATCAAATTGAAAACAATGGTGAAATATAAAATGAATGTGTTTAAAGTTGATGATTATGTCCATAAAAACAATATATTTTAAACTTATTGCAAGGCACACATAAAATATTTAAAGGGATAGTTCACCCAGAAATGAAAATTCTGTCATTAATTACTCACCCTCATGTCGTTCCAAACCTGTAAGACCTTCGTTCATCTTCAGAACACAAATTAAGATATTTTTGATTAATTCCGAGAGCTCTCTGACCCTCCCATAGACGGCAAGGATCCTAACACGATCAAGGCTCAGAAACGTAGCAAGGAGCTCGTTAAAATAATCCATGTGACATCAGTGGTTTAACCATAATTTTACGAAGCTACGAGAATACTTTTGTGACAATCTCTTGTCTATGGGAGGGACAGAGATCTCTCTGAATGCATCAAAAATATCTTAATTTGTGTTCTGAAGATGAACGAAAGTCTTACAGGTTTGGAACGACATGAGGGTAAGTAATTAATGACAGAATTTTCATTTTTGGGTGAGCTATCTCTTTAAGTATTTTACAATCACTAAAATACTGTGTTTCATGGGAGAGGGTGTTCCCTGCAGAGACCTTTTGGCAATTGGTGTAATTTTCATCCAGCATCTTGGGTAATGTAGTTTTTCCATCATGATTTCTGCCGCTAAACATTTATTTTTAAAAATAAGCTCAAATAAAATGCACAGATGCCTTCAACAAATGCATATGCCATTGATTAACAACGTCGGCATTCACAAAGATTTGCAAGTTGTCATTAAATATAAATTTCCCTATTGAGAAAATGAGTAATGAGTTTTACTTCCAGAACCCAACTGTTGCACATCTAAATTCACTGGTTTTATTATAGTCAAAAATATTAGGCCTATTTCACATTACTGAACCAACCTATATACATTCACTTATGCAAACAAAACTAGGCCCACATTTAGGGCGCGTATTCAAAAGAAACAAAGGCGTAGTTTGATGACGCAGTGACTGAATGTGGAATCATGGGAGTTGTGGTCTTCATCCCCACAGCCGATGCAATCCGACGGGACTCGGGCAGAAATCATGTTCATGGATGAGCTAAAGATTTATTAGCGTAGTAGAATGAAGCAGGGTGAGGCTGAAAGCCGTCGCAGTGAAACAAGGCCGCTGAACGAGCGTGACACACGACTCGAAAGCAGCGGAGCTTTTATTATGCCACAGTCGACCGCTTCCGCTCCTTCCGGTCGTGCGCATGTGGGGTAAAGCAGCTAGTAGCTGCATTTGAAAGTTCTGTTATAATGCTACTCTGTGCGGTCGTCACCGGTCTAATTAAACGCACAACATAAAGCGTCTTTGGTGTTTCCATGTTTTCTACAAAACAAAACCGGAAATCGAGGGGTTCTGACGTCATTGGCAGGCGACACAATGACACTATGGACACGCTCCGTGACACTAGTTAAAATTGCTTATTTCTCTGGATTTAAACATTCTTCGAAACATTTGGGATAATGTAAGTACACAAGTCAGCAAAATGTATAACACCGTTCTAGTGGTTTTTGGATATTCTAATAAAAAAAATCGTACATATTGTGCCTTTAAATCAGATAGATAGGTAACAATTGCAGGTTTTACAGTGCTGTTCCGAATTTAGCTAGCAGCTTGTTCAGATAAACTGGCGTATTTGTTTAGTAATGAACTGTTCTTCACACTAGATAGGCTTACTACTAGATTCTAATGACAGGAAGGCATGGGGAGACACTTCAGTGAACCAAAACATTCGAGTCAGTGCATAGAAGTGAACAAGATTCGTTCACTTAAAAGATTCGCTCAAAAGCACCGATTCGTTCACCAACGGAACACCACCAGAAAGCATTATGTCATTCCTGCCCGTTAAATACACTGCTGCCTGACGGTATGACTTCTGGCTTCAAATCGGTCCGTTCGTTTCGCTAATCGAATCGCATGTTGCAGGGCTACTACTAAGTGAATTGAAGGCCCACTGAGGTAGAAGTAACGTTAACCCACCGCACCTCTATAACGACTCGCGCTTTGACGTGACTCAACGTGAGGATTTTGCACTAACCAACGGAAATACCCACTGTACAAATACTCGCGTATTTAAAATAGTAATACACCCCGAATGTGTTTAAATGACAGCGTCTTAGCTTAATGCATATCTTTATTTAACTCCCTGTGTACCTGGCATGTTCAATAAATAAGATGCTGTCCGGTGCACAAATGCAGCTGGATCCGTAAGATGATAATCTGAGGACACGTTTGGTTGCGTGTGTTTTTTTAGCATCAGAATGTGAAAGCATCATTAGCGGGTGGTCTTACCAGCGGGAGGAAATCACGCAGGTCGCCTGACCATCATCAGCATCTCATGAGAGCGAGCAACGGTCGCGCACTCGAGTCCTGGCGTATCATCTTCATCATCATCTTCATCAGACCTCTCTTTCGTTTCACTTGTTTTTAATATAGGCTGACAAATACCGACCCAATAATCCGCAATTTGCTAGCGCCGCGCTCCCCCATCGTCATGTTTGTGCCGTGGTTACCGTTCCGTTTGATTGGGTCTTGGAGGAACTGCAGCACGAGCGCTTCTCTGAGCAGCAGCCAACAGCAGAGGACAGCAGAGCACTCCTGCCTTTCCCATCACCGAGCGCCACTATTGCTCTTCATATGCACGATTATTACTACGCTATCAGCCGACTGTTTGTTTTATGTAATGCGGTGCAATATGCTTGCTCAAATATGCTGAGCGACTATACTGCGTATGTAGGATTATTACAGTATGTCTACGTTAAAGACAGAGGTTTATTTTTTATTTTGCATTTCAGCATTAGCAGAACAAGGCATAGGCTTATATAAGTAAAACTAGAAGTCCACACAGTCTGAGATATACTTCTTAATAATACATACAACAGCAGAAAAACAAAGCAAATAAAGCCAGAAATAGATTTGTAAACGTTACGCTAAATATACACTGTAGGGGTACAACTAAATTATAGCCTGCTGATAAAACCAATCAAATAGCCTAATTTCCAGGCTTTATATGAAAGCGACAGTTTGACAAAAGTCAATAAAAGCCAGTTACCTAGAAACAACCTCACACCCAAAGACATTCAGCACGACCCAACCACCACGCTAGTTAATTTTATTCATACAACACAAACACTAACCTGATGGATTTTTTTCTGTAAAAAGCTAGACTTTCAGTAATCAATAAAGTGAGCTGCAAGTTTCACACAGATATTATTAGTCAATTAAAAATCCACTGTGAGGACACATCAATTCATCGCAGGCAAAACTAGCCACACAAAAATATCAACAGATCACAAGGGCCCTGGTACGAAAAAATTGTGTAAAAAGTTTGTGTACACCTTCGACACAGGTGTACCAAAATGAGACAGCCAATATAAAGATATAGTAAATACCCTGTTTCTTAAACATTTTGTAAAAGGATTTGTAAATAGACTTCTTCTTTTTATTAAAATATATTACTTAAAATATATTACTTTGCTTAACTAGACAAGACATTAAAAACAAAATCTGATTATCTAGTCCCCATAAATCGACTTTGGTATAGTACCAAGCAAATATTATCTAAATGATTTTACATTTCTATTGCCTGGAAGGCAGATGATAAAAAAAAAGCCTAATTCAAAGATGCAACAAGTTGTTTTCTAACATACATAGAACTATTGGTATCAAAATGTATCTGTAGAATTGTTTCAGGACAGAAACTGAGCCACGACATTTAATGTTGAAACATGATTAAAATTATGATGTGTTGGACAGTATTTCACAAATCAAAACCTTCAGTTATCAGAGACAATCGGATATGTTTAGGCAAGATGCTTTGTAGAAATGTTTGTACATCTAAAAGAACGTCAGTATTTACAATACTAAACAAAACAACAAAAAATCTTCATAAAATCTCCCTTCTGAGTGTTTAACTTCATTGCTCGTAATAGTTTTGCTGTTGATACTCTGCATTATTTGCCTATCCCTAAAAACTAAGTTTAGTCCAATTAGAGGCAATGTAAACAACTCAAATGATTCGACACAGGCTATTGAAATGATTAAGACCTGGTTTTGCTCCTGAGAGGGTACATTAGTTTGTTTAAGAAGTGCTTTAATTCTTACAAATCATCTTTTTTTTTTAGAGCAAAGACATTTTCTGAACATAAAAAGTGCAACCCTAATAAATATTTTTCTGAAGAAAATGAGATGTAAGGGACTAATGCTCTTAATTTTATAAATATTGAAAATATACAAATTATTGCCATTATCAGTATAAACCTGCTCTTACATTCTTCTCTCATGTAAAAGCCACCGATCTAAGAGAAGTGCTAGCCTGTTAACATATTTGACAAAACTCCCTTCTATCCCATAAATAACTTTGAACAGTACCATATAAACCTATATAACAAGGCAGGTTAATGTATTAGGTTTACATATTCACAGTAATTCTGCAGTAATTGGTATTTCAGTTGTGTGGTTCTTTGCTTGTGTCAAAAAGGCTTAAACCAACCAACAAATAGCTTTACAGGAAATGCAAAGACTAAATGTTGATGTTATTGGTTTCTGATCCAGCAAACTAGTGTGAATTACGCGTACAAGATCCGAAATTTGAAGGGTGGAGGGGAATCATGATTATTAACATATACAAAAATAGTAGTATATTCATTTCAATTTCTAAAATTATATTACAAAAATAGAACAGAAATAGAACCAGCCTTAAATATTGCCACTATTCAATATCGAGTCTTGAGTCTAAAACAAGGTGCTCAATGAATGAGAGGAAGTATTACTTGGCATTGCACGTTTTTCATACCTCATCTTTTAGCGTGTTATTGTTTGTGCTGTAAAGAAAAACAAAGGGGCGAATTCACTAAACAGTTGCGCGTTGCATTTTAGTGCAAAAGCCTACAGCGTCTTCATTAGCATCCACGATCCAGTTTAACCAGGCGCTTAAAGCCCTGAAACGCAAATGATTGAGAAAAGAATGGGTACATATCCAGACATACAGTGTAGTCGAGCACTTTCGGCACGCTAAAGAGCCGATTTAAAGTCTGGATTGCATTAGTGCAGCCATACCGAACAGTCCCAGTAAAGCATGCCAGATAAAGGTAGTCTGCTGCATTCGCCACAACTAAGTACTCAGAACTGACTTGCTGGTCATGTTACCTGATTTGCATAACTCCTGTATATATCATCTGCTAAAACAAAGCAGAAGTTACGTGCAAATAAACAGCACTATTAGCGGGCGCAATTCATTCTTAGTGAATTCCCCCCATACAGCACAACAGCTAGCCTCTCAAATGACAACGGATACATGGACACTGCTGTACTGTCGTAACATTTCTGTTACCCTCACTGCAGTGATTGCTTCTTTTTGAATGAACAAGTTGCAGTTTATCCTCATGACCATTATCGTACCACCAAACACGAGACACATAGTTTGGATGGACCAATGCAGTCATCATGACAAAATGCGCCACATCCCTTGCACATAATCATAGCCTTCAGTCGACAGTAGCACTTTGATTGAACGTCCTCCATCCCAGAGGTTTCTATGAAGGCTTGCTCAGGTGAGGTCTCATCCTGACTGTTCTGATCCAGTAGGTGACCGGCAGGTATGGCAGTGACGGTGACGGAAAAAGACATCATACCTCCAGTGGACGTTTCACCATCACCGCTGCAGGACACAGTGGGAGAAGTTGGAGTGTTAGCCATGCTGTGGTTCAGTGCGTGAGGGACAGACATGCTGATAGTGCCACCATACTGAGGTCCATTATGGGCTTTCTGAGACAGGAACGTGCGTTGGTGACAGTCACCTAACTGATATGGCTCTGTTTTACCCTGTATACTGCTGCACATATCAAGCTGCGCTCTTGAGCATGTTTCTTTGGTTCTAATAGAAGTGCTGCCTTCGTCTTTGCTGGACAAACAACTCAGTGATAGAGATTCAGACTTTATATCAGAGCAGGGTTGGGGTGGCAAACCATCATCTGGTTTATTGATGACACATCCCTGCTGTTCCACTTTGACCCTTGGGAAATTCGGGTGACGGGTAAGTGATTCCGTCTTCCCTTTCACACTATCCTCTGCTTCGATTGTCTCCTTCTTCAGGTTGGCGAGGGCAGAGCCTGTATTACTACTTAGGTGCGGCCGTTTGCTGCTCTCGGATCCTCTACCATATGTGGACACGTTGAGGAGGTAGTGTCCTGTCATAGCTGGCTTGGATACCCTTTTCCGTCCAAAGATGCCTAGATGGATATTCTGGTCATGGCTACCCTCAAGGTGACCTAATTGACAGGACTGGAATTGGGAGTTGGAGCTGGTGTTCTTCTGCATGCATTTGTGCCTTAGTGGATGGAGCATCTGGTCCGGAGTACCAACTTTTACCAACTTGTCCACACTTCTGACTTGCATGCCAAAAGGAACTTGGTTCCCAAGTTTTTTGTCATCTTCTTGGTTTGTTGAACTATCTTTTTTCAACCCAGCAGTGGTGGTACCAAGATTCCCTTTATCTCTGGATGAAATGGCTACAGATTGAACCTCCACCTTGGCTAGTGGCTTTGGGAGGATCTTTTCTAAGGGAACCTCTTTACCTTGAAGAAGCTGGGTGACCAGAGGATTATTTGCTGGGATTAAAGAGCTAGGCTTGGTGACTGACGCTCCTGAAAAAGGTGCTTGCTGTGGTCTCTGGTTTTCTGCTATTGTGTTCGAGACAGTCACGTTTCCTGCCTGACATGAAGGTGCTAGCGTCCCCGCAGGACTGAGGAGGTTATGCTGATCCTTGCCCGTTGGGTTCAACGTACACTGAGTGGTTTGCAACCCCATCGAAGAGCGATTATCTTTTAAAAAACCCTGGCTTGCACTGAAGGCTTGTGCAAGACCAGGGTCTGCGTGTCCAGTGGAACCTGAGGAAGGAGAGGTTTGTAAGAGAGACACCGTGCCTTCAGGAGCTGGAGTTCCAGAGCTTAGCTTTATAGGCGACACCGATTGACTTCTGCTGCTTGCTGGTGAAAAATCTTCTGACAGGGACCGAGCTGGAGAGGGTGTTGAGGTACCTCCAACTGAGCCAGTTCCCATTGAGGAAGATGACCCGGCTGCTGCTGCTGCAGCACGCTGTGCACGTGCTAACTGGGCTTTTGCCTTGATGTCAGCTAGAGTGCGTGCACCGGTGCGACCAGGTCGAATGCTAGGGGGTGTCAACGGAACGGGAACCGGAGTCCTTGGAGATACCTGCTCAGTAGACGCAGGGGCAGAGAAAATTCTTGACACTGGGATCTGCAAAGAAAGATTTTGAGTGTTATTATGAGAGTGAAAATTCCACTGAGCGTAGCATTTAATGTCAAAAAATTTATATAGTGCAGCAAAAAAATATCTTTAGATTTTCTACAGTTCTTTGTACAGAACAATTCCCTACACTCTTAAAAATAAAGGTGCTTAAAAGGTTCTTCGCAGCGATGCCATAGAAGAACCATTTCTGGTTCCACAAAGAACCATTCAGTCAAAGTTTCTTTAAAGACCCATCTCTTTCTTACCTTTTTATAATCTGAAGAATCTTCGTTCACCACAAAGAACATTTTGTGAAACAGAAAGGTTCTTCAGATGTTAGAGGTTCTTTATGGAACCATTTAGACAAAAAGGTTCTTCAATGGTATCATGAAGCACCTTTATTTTTAAGAGTGTACTACAATATTAGGGTGCTTTGAGTGGTTGCCTGGGCATTGCTATGTGGTTGCTAAAGGATTATGAGTGTTTTTAACATGCCTAGGTGATTGCTAGTGTTCTGGTTGTATACAAGTCTGATTGCTTAGAAAAGCGATAGCAAATCCTCTTCTCAACAACTCACACAATACAGCAGCCACACCTACATCAATCATATAAGTACTGTAGTACAAACGACAAGCAACATCATGTCTACACTGGGTGTGACCACTGTCAACAGATTAAAGCTGTCTACATTGGAAACATCAAAGCAAACCTTCCAAATCCAATTATCATTCATGTCGGAAATAGCACAAATGATTCTAATGCAGGGGTGTTCAAACTCGGTCCTGGAGGGCCGGTGTCCTGCAGAGTTTAGCTCCAACCCTAATCAAACACACCTGAACCAGCTAATTAAGCTCTTACTAGGCATGCTAGAAACTTCCCGGCAGGTGTGTTGAGGCAAGTTGGAGCTAACCTCTGCAGAACACCAACCCTCCAGGACCGAGTTTGGGCACCCCTGTTCTAATGGGTTCTGATGAATCGCAATACTCTCATCTGGCGTAGACAGGGTGTGCAACACTGCTTAAAGGTGCAGTGTGTAAATTTTAGCGGCATCTAGCGGTGAGGTTGCGAATTGCAACCAACGGCTCAGTCACCCGCTCACCCCTCCCTTTAGAGAAGCTACGGTGGCCGATAAAGGACTAAGACGTCGTCGGTAAAGACAGCAGAGAGCAATGAGATTTCTTTACAAAGGTAAATTAAGGAATTATATTTACTTAATTATTTAATAAATTGATGTACTTATTCATCATTGTGTCAGTGTTTTATTTGCAAGAACAACAAAGTGACGAAACGCGCTGTGTAGAGCAGTTTGTCCATTTAGGGCTACTGTAGAAACATGGTGGCAACTTCCATGTAAGGGGACCCGTGGTGTATATAGATATAAATTGCTCAATCTAAGGTAATAAAAACATAACGGTTCATTAAAGGGGTCATATGATGCGATTTCAATTTTTCCTTTCTCTTTGGAGTGTTACAAGCTCTTGATGCATAAAGAAGATCTGTAAAGTTGCAAAGACTAAAGTCTCAAATCCAAAGAGATATTCTTTATAAACGTTAAGAGTCAGCCACGCCTACCTAAAACGGTTCGTTCTAACACGGCCCCACATATTTACGTCGCTATGTGGGAAGATTTGCATAAAGCCACCCAAATGTTCACGCAAAGAAAGGAGTAACTTTTATTCTCGCTGTAGTTTTGTTGTTTCCGCCGCCACCATGTCATAAAGACGCTATGTGCTTCGTTGTGAAAGCGAAACTACTTTGTTTGGTCTTCCAAAAGAGGACGATATCTGCTTTAGTCATGCCTGGAGCTGATCCGTGCTGGTCGCTGAGGAAATACTACAACTTTTTGCTGTCAATCGCCGGATCGGCTTTCACCGTGGACGAAGCGGAGTCCAGCCCGGAGTCGTCGCATGTCCTTCCGGATGCTCCTTCGTCGAAATCGCCGGCCATTCTCACGCTAGCCCCCGGCCTCTGCTCACTGTAGGCCGCCGTGTGTGACGCGGTTTCATTGTGAAAGCGAAACTACTTTGTTTGGCCTTCCAAAAATGGACACGACTAGAAATCAGTGGTTAAGTTGTATTTACAACACTGTTCCAGAACACTTCAACCCAAATATTCAGATTAAACCGCATAAACACATTTCATTACACCAAATACACAAAATACTGTTCTTTTTGGCAGCATCATATGACCCCTTTAAGTAAGGTCTTTATACACCTCTGAAAACATAGCTATGTATATTATATTGCATTTCTGTCAATAGATCGATGTAAATATTACACATTGCACCTTTAATACTTAAAGGGATAGTTCATTAAAAAATGAATATTCTGTCATTAATTACTCACCCTCATATCGTCCCAAACCCATAAGACCTTCATTCATCTTCGGAACACAAATTAAGATATTTTTGATGAAATCCGAGAGCTTTCTGACCCTGCATAGACAGCAACGCTACTGACATGTTCAAGGCCCAGAAAGGTAGTAAGGACATTGTTAAAAAATTCCATGTGACGTTCTACGTCAGAACGCCGGCTCCTGTGTCAGCAGAACCACACAGGTGTTATGGTACTCTCATGAATGCGCAGCGAAGGCTGACACGGAAGACAAGAAATTGTTGAATAAAGTCGTTATTTTTGCTTTCTTTGCACACAAAAAGTATTCTCATAGCTTCATAAAATTATGGTTGAACCACTGATGTCACATGGACTATTTTAACAATGTCCTTAATACATTTCTGAGCCTTAAACGTGATAGTTGCTAATAATATAATGTAACAAAATATCTTAATCTTTGTTTTGAAGATGAACAAAGGTCTTACAGGTTTGAAACAACATTGTAATTATTGACAGAATTTCAATTTTTGGGTGAACTAGCCATTTAAGGCTAGGGGTTTGTTCAAACGAAAGAAACCTAAAACTTACTTTGAGAGGAGGTACTCTTTGTTCAACTTTTTCTTTAGCTGTCACTGTGGATGACGCTTCTGATGAAGTGACACGGGGCTTCTTCTCTGTTCTGAGCTCTGTATCCTGTTCACTACAGACTTTTCTTTTTAGAGGCTCAGATGTGGCAGCAGTTACTGGAGATCCAACCTCATTCCTTTCCATTACAGTTTGTCCAGCCTCACCAACGGGAATTTCATCTTTAGGGGTGTGTGTCTCGTTTCCTTCCAAACAGGTGACCACTGCTTCCAAAGGAGATGCTGGGGTCTTACATGTGATCTCATTTTCCAGTGCTTTTTCACTGTCAGGTTTGGTCTCCACTGCTTTCTGAACAGAGGACTCTGGAATCAGTTCTTCCTGTGCATCCTTTCTCGTGTCTAAGGATAAATGTGATTGCTCTGGAGCAGGAGGTTTGACCGGCTCTTCAGTCGAGATATGCGTTACTGTTGATTTCACATCTCTAGATCTCAACTCCATGTGGATGACCTCTGTCACTGGGTTTACCTTCTGAGACTCTTTGACAGTCTCTGGCTTTTCTGATAAGACCGTTCTTTTAGCTGGTTCAGGAACACTCCTATCCTCTGTCAGTTCTCTGGATTCCTCTATACTCAGTCCAGATCTGAAATTAAAAGCAAGAAGAGACAGAATAATAGGAAAAAGGACCTCAAAAACAAAACATCACTTATGATACAATAATCTAGTGACCCACTAACCAATTTTCCATTCATTTTCAGGTTTCAGGGCATGCAATCATGCTCCCGGAGAGCCACATTATGCTACAGTTTAGCTTTAGCCCTAATTAAGCTAACCTAAACCAGCTAATCAGTGTCTTCAGGATCACTAGAAACTTTGATGTGTTGGAGCTAAACTCTGCAAAAAAAAAAGGTGGCCCTCCAGAATAGGACACTCCTGAACTAGACCATACTCTCTGATTTTCTTTTTCAGTATTTCCATAAGGCTTGGTGGCTGACTTACTGTTCACCATAGTAGCTCTCAAAGAAATGCTCCTTCCAAAGCTCCACTTTCTTTTCCTTCTCGATTTCTTGCCGCATTCTCAGTCTCAGCTCTGGTGTGAACTCACCTGAGAATACAGCCTTGCATAAGTCACACAAATATTGAAGATACATTTATATATAGCACACCAAGTAACTTTTTTCCACTGCAAAATGTTTACTCTTAAAGAGTTTCACTTTTTTTATAGAAACGTATTGTTCTTTTGGAAAAAATGTTTAAGATTAAGTAAATTCAAATGACTCTTGCAATATTGGAAGCTTAGAAAAAATCTGTATTTTTCTACAGGACATTGCCTTCTCATGGTGGCTACCACACTGAGATCGCATGACCTGCCAAACACTACTCATTTTATTTCTGTAGCCCCTGTATTATTGGACACTTTCGGTTGCAGAATAAACTGGGTGACAAGTACACCTCCACATACAGTGGGGTATTTTTATATACTTTATATACTTTTTCAGTACATTTGCTTCTGTGTTTTGTTGCATCCACACTGATATTTTCACCTAAATTTCAATAACCAGTGCTGTTCAAGAGCAATGCCAGTAAAGCAAAATTATGTTGTGCACATTTAAGCTTTTAACTACTTTTAAATCATTGAGGACAACAACTGACCCTCTGACAACCTCTCCTTCCAAGATTGTGCTGCTGATGTGAAAAACTCGTTGTTCAAGGCAGAGCTGGTCACCTTCAGTGCACCATCCATACTAGCCTGCAAAGTATTATCAATAACAATTAGAGATTCATGATCCACAAAATCATACTGTATGTTCAACACCGCAGGGTTCTTTTGTGTTTTGCTACCTGCTGGTCGACCTCCGGCAGCATCTTAAGAAGCTTCTGTTGACACTCTGTAGGCAGCATTGAGAACGTGTGCTTGTTGATGAGCGCTCGCAGGTTGGTGTTGACAAGGATGGAATCTGGTGTCTCGACATCTATCGCACACTTGGTATGCCTCAGTTGTCCTGAAAATCCAAGGCGGGGGATCAGTTACGGCATCTTATGTGCTGACACGAATTACAGTGATCTGTGAAGATACTCACTGGGACTGAGCCTACTGGTGCGCTGGGACACCTTCCGGGCCCCAGTCGTGTGGCACACATCTGCTTTGATGGAGGAGGACGAACTGGAGGTAGAGTTCTGTGGACTGGCAGGGCAGCGCTCTGTCTGTTTCAGCTCCCAAGCTAGAGCAAACAGAGACATTCTGTTTAATATTTATTTTGCATTTATATGAGCGGTCAAAAATGTAATTGGACACAACTGAAGAGCAGGCTTTAATTTGATTCAAACTGACATGCTGTATGTATGTACAGGACTTGGAGGACTATGTATGTATGTATGCACAGGATTTGGAGGAGTATGTATGTATGCGTGTATGTACAGGATTTGGAGGAGTCGTGAGCCATGTCTTTGACAGTCTTGAGGAGCAGTCGTGGGCTGGACGTGTTGGGGATTCCACATTGCCGCCGTTGATTCCTCTGCTGCTGCTGTTTCAGTGCCTATAAATGAAGTATGACAAAAAACGAGAATGTCTATAAACCCACAGCTTACGTAACATAGGTTACTGCCGTGTTGCAAACAGAGAGCACAGGGGGTCTCAATTGCTCAAGGTTTAAACCAGCCAACAGTGGTTAATATCTCAGCAGGCCAGGGTGTTATGACGGTGTATATTGTGCAACAGCAGAAATGTGTAATTCAATAAAAATCTTAATATACCATGGTAGATATATCCATGTGGTATCAGTAATGCTTCAAGGGAGGGTTCACCCAAAAATGAAACACAAATAAATTTATATTTTTGATGAAAGCCGTAAGCTTTCTGACCCTCCATAGACAGCAACGAAACTGACACACACTTCAAGGCTCAGAAAGGTGGTAAGGACATTGTTAAAATAGTCTATGTGACATCAGTTGTTCAACATGAATTTTATGAAGCTACGAGAATACTTTGTGCGCAAAGAAAACAAAAAAAACTACTTTATTCAACAATTTTTTCTCTTCCGTGTCAGTCTTCGACACACGTTCACAACAGTATCACGACGCACTACCTTTACTATCTTTCTGGGCCTTGAACGTGGTAGTTCCGTAGCAGTCTATATATGCAGGGTCAGAAATAACCCTGGGTCAAAAATATCTTAATTTGTGTTTCGAAGATGAACGAAGGTCTTGCAGGTTTGTAACGACACAAGGGTGAGTAATTAATGACAGAATTTTCATTTTTGGGTGAACTATCCCTTGAAGCATTACTGATACGACACGGAAGTAATTAATAAATAAGCATATTATGCTTATTTATTAGTACCTAATAAATAAGCATAAATAATAAATGTAAGTGGCAGTACATGTTTGAGGGCCTTCTTGCTGTGTTTCTGTGATGGAGATATGAGTTTGCTGCTGGAGACTGACGGAGATGAACAGCGAGACTGTGGGGAGGACGGCTGAGATTGCAGTTTTGCTGGCACTGAGAATGATAGGAAAGCAATACATTAGTTGCATGTTTGCACATCAATACCACAGTTATACTCACACACAATTGAACCGGCATATGCATAATTTGACTCCATGACATTTTAATACAAATACACAATCAGTTTGCAAATACATTGAAAAGAACAATATAAGTACACGATTAGTGCAGTCTATATTCTGAAATATATATATATATTAAAAAAAAAGCATTCAAATATATTTTTGTCTTAGTGTGTTTTTATTATTAAAAAAAGTTTTTAATTTGCATCATCTTGAATCATCTGGAAATTATGTTGCTATTATGTTGTTCCATGACAACCATAAATTCATAAATACACTTTTTTAACTTTCCTTTGTGACATATTTAAATCTGCAGAATTCACAACAAATGTTTGAGTCTGCAAGTCATAAAAACACATTTATATATTTAGCAAATGTAATATGTAGTGGCAACACAACTAAAACGCAAATGCAATGAGATCAGAACCTGAGCCGTAAAAATTAAAACACAATGTGTTTCACTGTAATATAACTTTACAGTATTCCAAGCACATTTTTAAAGGATGGGTGTTTTTAAAAAGACAAACACTTAATAAAACAAACTCCCATGAACAGCATGCTGCTAAATCAATAATTATTTCCTGTTTTTTTCTCTTACACAACAATCTTCATTCTCTCAATCCACAGCTTCAAAGTTTCACCAGGATATTTAGACGAAAGTCTTACTTACAGTACTTGGTTCTGCATGAATTCACTCTGTTAGAGTGCATTATTCTCAAATACTTAGTTTCTGCAAGATGAATTGTGGTAAAAACCTACATTTGTTCAGTTAGCTTCGTACTACTCTCTCATATATACGAGGAAGTGGTATCAAAAAAAAAAAAAGAGAGAGTAGAATTTCCTGTTTAAAGGGTATTTTGCATTCAACTAATATTTTGACTTGAACTGGGCTAAACTTCGATGTGAGGTCATTTCTACATATCAGCGTATGAGTCTATGTGACATCAGTTGTTCAACATGAATTTTATGAAGCTACGAGAATACTTTGTGCGCAAAGAAAACAAAAAAAACTACTTTATTCAACAATTTTTTCTCTTCCGTGTCAGTCTTCGACACACGTTCACAACAGTATCACGACGCACTACCTTTACTATCTTTCTGGGCCTTGAACGTGGTAGTTCCGTAGCAGTCTATATATGCAGGGTCAGAAATAACCCTGGGTCAAAAATATCTTAATTTGTGTTTCGAAGATGAACGAAGGTCTTGCAGGTTTGTAACGACACAAGGGTGAGTAATTAATGACAGAATTTTCATTTTTGGGTGAACTATCCCTTGAAGCATTACTGATACGACACGGAAGTAATTAATAAATAAGCATATTATGCTTATTTATTAGTACCTAATAAATAAGCATAAATAATAAATGTAAGTGGCAGTACATGTTTGAGGGCCTTCTTGCTGTGTTTCTGTGATGGAGATATGAGTTTGCTGCTGGAGACTGACGGAGATGAACAGCGAGACTGTGGGGAGGACGGCTGAGATTGCAGTTTTGCTGGCACTGAGAATGATAGGAAAGCAATACATTAGTTGCATGTTTGCACATCAATACCACAGTTATACTCACACACAATTGAACCGGCATATGCATAATTTGACTCCATGACATTTTAATACAAATACACAATCAGTTTGCAAATACATTGAAAAGAACAATATAAGTACATGATTAGTGCAGTCTATATTCTGAAATATATATATATATTAAAAAAAAAGCATTCAAATATATTTTTGTCTTAGTGTGTTTTTATTATTAAAAAAAGTTTTTAATTTGCATCATCTTGAATCATCTGGAAATTATGTTGCTATTATGTTGTTCCATGACAACCATAAATTCATAAATACACTTTTTTAACTTTCCTTTGTGACATATTTAAATCTGCAGAATTCACAACAAATGTTTGAGTCTGCAAGTCATAAAAACACATTTATATATTTAGCAAATGTAATATGTAGTGGCAACACAACTAAAACGCAAATGCAATGAGATCAGAACCTGAGCCGTAAAAATTAAAACACAATGTGTTTCACTGTAATATAACTTTACAGTATTCCAAGCACATTTTTAAAGGATGGGTGTTTTTAAAAAGACAAACACTTAATAAAACAAACTCCCATGAACAGCATGCTGCTAAATCAATAATTATTTCCTGTTTTTTTCTCTTACACAACAATCTTCATTCTCTCAATCCACAGCTTCAAAGTTTCACCAGGATATTTAGACGAAAGTCTTACTTACAGTACTTGGTTCTGCATGAATTCACTCTGTTAGAGTGCATTATTCTCAAATACTTAGTTTCTGCAAGATGAATTGTGGTAAAAACCTACATTTGTTCAGTTAGCTTCGTACTACTCTCTCATATATACGAGGAAGTGGTATCAAAAAAAAAAAAAGAGAGAGTAGAATTTCCTGTTTAAAGGGTATTTTGCATTCAACTAATATTTTGACTTGAACTGGGCTAAACTTCGATGTGAGGTCATTTCTACATATCAGCGTATGAGTTACACATTCATGGTTGAGAATGTAATCTACATACTCCATCCCACAACAGATGGCATCAGTCATGATATCTAACAGTGATTTGATTAACTACAGTTTTACATTTCTTCAGATCTTTATTATTAGTTATACATGCTGTGTATATGCTGTGACCTGTTTAAGATTCACAAAATAAGCTTCACCCACTAAAAAACTTTTGGACAAGACCTTAAAAAAAATGTTCTCCCAAACAACTATGAGATATTTCAAGAGGCACAGTCATAACAAACAGCCCTAAGTTAAACTTGAATTACATTTTTTTTTTATTTAACTGTACACTGCCGTTCAAAAATTTGGGGTCAGCCCAAATGTTATTTTCAGGAAGTGGATACTTTTCCAGCAAGGACGCATTAAAGCAAGGATACATTTTTATTCGGTAAATACATGTATAATGTTACAAAACATTTTTTTTTAAATAAATGCTGTTCTTTTTAACTTTCTATTTATCAAAGAATCCTGAAAAAAAAATCATGGTTTCCACAAAAATATTATGCAGCACAACTGTTTCCTGTGACACTGTGTAACTGTGACTGGAGTAAAGATGCTGAAAATTCAGTTTTGCCATCACAAAAAAAAAAAAAGTTACATTTGAAAGTATATTAAAATAGAAAACTATTCATTTAAATTGTTCAATTATTTCACAATATTACCTTTTTACTGTATTTTTGCACACAAAAAGAAAGAAAATGCAGTCTTGGTGAGCAAAAGCAAGTTATTGCAAAATTTACCAACCCCAAACATTTGAATGATAGATTATAATGCATTTAAGTAAGAAATTATATGTTAAATGTTCAAATCCCAGTTTAATATACAAGCTGTCTGTATGTTAATTCCCCCCAGAAGTAGAAGTAGCACTTTGCAAGGTATGACAGATGGAATGTTCAGGAAACCTGTTTGAAAATTACTATTAATTCTGCAGTTCTATTTGGTGACACTAGGGATGCAAAAACTGCACACTCCAGCTCTAATTATGGCTATACAGTACATAATTCATAAAATGTGGTACCTCTCCTCTTCCACCTTCCTCTGCGTCCATCTTTGCTGTAGGTAGTGGTGCTGGTATTTTCTGTGCTTCGGGTATCAGACATGTTATCACTGCTGTCCTCTGAAGCATCTTCTGACAGTTCCTTCACCATGTCTCCAATGTCCTTCTGCTCACATACAAACACAAGCCATACACATCACATGCCCAACACTAATTTCCATTAACTGTTTGATCAGATTCAAATGAGCTGTTTTAATGTTAATTAATACATTTAATAGATCATTGGGAGAATTGGGGCCTGTTACGCGAACGTTAATTGAGCATTAATTATAATAGTGGTATAATAAATATTCATGTCAGTCAGCAGAACTGTATGAACAAACCAAAGCAATAGAAACCCCACATTTATATTTACTTTTCATTCAAGGTAGACATGTTAGCAGCAGTATATAGTGAATTAATGTGTGTTCACTTTTTGCGCGGCGTTGGTTCTGGAAGCATTTTTTCCACTCATTTTTCCCCATTAGGATTTTGAAAAATGCTCTGTTAAAGTGTTATAAGCCATAAAACAAGCAAACCAGCTATGAGGTGAACCACAACACTACAAACTTTTATTTGAAGCAAAAAGTATTTGAAAGTCCAAAAACAAAAAAAACAAAAATTGTGTACCTACCAAATTTAGTGAAGGGAAAAAAAAAAACACAATCCCAAGACATTAAAAATGACAATCAAATTAAAAAACAATGGTGAAAATAATATATAAGTGCTGTCAAACGATTAATCGCATCCAAAATAAAAGTTTTTGTTTACATAATATATGTGTGTGTACTGTGTATATTTATTATGTATATATAAATACACTCATACACTATATATTTTGAAAATATTTACATGTATATATTTATATTTATATAATATATAAATATTTTAATATACAAATATATATATATATATATATTTTTTTTTTATATATATATACAAGCATATCTTTTTTGGCATAATTTGCTCACTGCAACTCTGATTGGATTAATTTTCTGCACAGCATTATGGGTAATGCAGTTTTTTTTTTACTACAAATTATGCTGTTAAACATGATTATTTTAAACACAAGTTGAAATAATGCGAATAGATGGCTTAAACAAAAGCATATAGAGTAATAACCTTGGAGCTCATAACAGCTCTGTCTTTAAGGGTTTACAATTTACTGTTAAAAATCACTTTCCTTATGTGGAAAATGGTGTTTTTGGAGTTTTATGTATGCCTGTCACGATAACAACTTTTTGTTGTGCAATATATTGCCCCAGAAATAATTGCGATAAGCGATATTATTGTCATTTTAAAGACCATTTTATGCTACTGACTATATAATCATAATGTAACAGCATAATAATGCAAGAAGGCCTACACACTTCCAAATGACAATAAACTTTAAATTTTTAAGAATATTTAGATCATGGAAATTAAGTATCAAAATATTAGATACCTTAAAAACCAGAATAAATAGTAAATAAACATTTTCTAAAAAAAGTGCAAAGTAACAAGCAGAAAAAAAAGAAAAATGCACAAAGAACTTGTATGGAGATTTTTCCATCTACAGATTTTTTCCTGACCTTCTTTTCTCTGTAAATTAAGGGTGCACACTATTGCTGAAAAACACAATCACTACTTAGCAGTCAGACGTCCGTATGCACAAAGGCACAGATCCCTAAACAAGACCATATCTGCAGATGAAACTTTGTAGAAGCATTTTTAAAATTTGAACGAGCACCGCATGACTACACCACGGTATGTACGAGAAGCTGCAAAAGATACAGGCGCAAGTGGAATGTACAAAACATGGTGACATTAATTTTTAAGTAAATATAATGGGTGATATATTGCGTCACCAAACATTATTGAGGTCATGTACATATATTGCGCGATAAGTCGATATATTGATTATTGCGACAGGCCGAGTTTTTACTCTACTTCCAGAACCCAACTGGCTGCACTCTGTGTATCTTCTGAAAATCAAATCTATGATTGTAGTGATGCTAACACTATGTTGAGCTACAGGAATTAGGGATGCACCGAAATGAAAATTCTTGGCCGAGGGCCGAATACCGAACACAGTTTTTCAGGGGGTTTTTCCCTATGTATTTTGCCAATTTCTTTCACCATTGCATAAATTAAAAAGCCAAAATTAGCTTTTTACTGTTTTGTCTTGCTTTTCAAAGAAAAATCTATTACAAAACAACCATTTCAAAATATTTAACACTGAACATTTTTAACATTCTAGCAGACACTATACCAACAAAGCACAATTTAACTTAAAATTAATAAGTTAGTAAAATAATCATTTTTGGCCATCAGATCAGACCCCCTTCTTGGGGGGGGGTCTTTTTTTTTTTTTTTTATTATGGAATTCAAGTTGATTTGTCCCACCGTTCTCGAATAACACACGAAGGAATTCTACGAAAAGCATGTAAAAATGGATGTGAGGCTATATATCCGCAACAGTTTGGCGTATTGAGACCAATCTTGGTGTGTGTTATAACAAGCATGACTTGAGACTACCTGCAGTGTTTTGGCACAGTGCCCCCTAGTGGTCAGGAGATTTAAAAAAAAATGCATATTTTTGCTTATAACTTATGAATGGTTTGGCCAAAAATCACAAAACACTACTTTTTCGAACTCCTCCTAGACCGTTAGTCCAATTTTCACCAAATTTGACTCGGATCATCTTCAGACCAAGCTGGCAAAAAAGTTATGGATTTCGTGTCGATATACGAAACGGTTTTCGTTTTAGGTTGCTGGTTAAGATGCCAAAATGCATCCTGAGGCTGTATCTCTGCAAAGCTTTGACGTATTTGCACCAAACTGTGTATGTGCCATTGTCACCTCACACTGACCCCGCCACATCAATTTGGTAACAGCGCCACCTATTGGTCAAGAGTAATAAACCATTGATTTATTATTAATTATGAAATTTCTAAAAATGCTAATAACTTTTGATTGCATTAGCCTATTGCAATGAAACTGCTCTCAAAATATTCCTTGGCTTATGCCGACAACAGACATACCAATTTTATCTTAGCAAATCTGAACTGTCTGTCGGCCATTTTGATTTATGCTGTAAACCTACTTTTTCGAACTCCTCCTCAAGCCTTGGTTCGATTTTCACCAAAATCCGAGTCAAATCATCTTCAGAATGTGCTGACAAAATGTTATGGATTTCGTGTGATAAGACGAAACCGTTTTTGTTGGTCAAAAGTGATAAGCCATTTAATCATATTACTAGTGGTTGTATTTATGATTTTTCAGCCATTTCAATTACAATCATCCTAAAATTGCTTTTATTACTCATTGTTGCATTTGGTCTGATGCTCTATGCCAGGGGTGGCGTGATTTCATGAACAAATTTTTGACAGAACTATCTAACTATCTTGACTAGACTATCAGAGGAAAAAATAAAGACAATAGTTACACCCCATTTTTTTCATAAAGAACAAAATTGTAATTAGTAGAGTTTTATTTCTAAAACGAATCAAACTAATAAAAAAATAAACAGCTTACATACTAAACTCTCATTCAAAACTACACCATTGTTGCTTAAATCAAGTTTGAATACACTACTAGTTTAAAATCACAGTATAATATAATTTGTGTAAGCCTATGAAACACTCCTATATCTCGTAATTACAGTTTAATTTACATTAAATACTAGCTTCAATGACAGCCCCACTTTGCGCATGCGCATTAAAATCCAATTCTGCGCATGCTCGTCAAACATCCAATACGTATTGGATCTGATCCAGAGACGTCATCGTGCTACAGGCTGCAGCGAGGACCTCTTGTCTTTATCCGACAGTATAAATGCTTCCACACTGCTGACGTGTGTGCTGCATAATAAAGAGTGCTTTGAGATTCTGGTTATGTTTAAGTATGTTTACCTTCAGTGTATAGACTCCCATTCTGCCGGGGACCTTGTAGAAGATCCCTTCCTCTCCACGTGAGTTTGTATGGAGCATGGCATTGAGACAGGCAAGAGGCGACGTTCCACTGGAGTAAAAAACAAAACAGCTGATTAAATCAATCACTGCCTTCACACAACTGAAAAGCTGCAACAAAGATCACAGTTCAGAGGTTGATTTAAAGATATTTGTGTATGTATGTCAAAATAAATTTAAATAAAGTAAAATTATTTTATTTAAAAATACTGAAAACATGCTACATTATGTCTGAATATGGCTAAAAAATTACTAAAAATGTCTGGCTGTTGATCTGTGCATAAACATATTAAAAGTGTTAGTTGCTGTGTGTCTTCCATTTCTAACTGTGCAGCACAACGCAAATATATACAAAATATATACATATATAATATACATTCTTTGCTACCCAATGAGGAGAAATTGTCAAGGCACATAATATACACAGACATTAAAATTCAGTTCTTTAAGACAATCTTTCAAAGAAAATATAAAGTAACTTAAGTAAATTGTAGTTTGTATGTGAAAGGAAGCTCTGTTTTTCTTTTTATTATTTATATACTATTATAGTTGTTTTAATAATATTTAAATATATATTTTTAACTAGCTATTATTTTTATATTTCCAATTTTAATTTTAGTTGAAATGTTTGTTATTCTGTTCTGTGCTTTTGTCATTTTATTTTTATTTTTTTTTTACTATTTAGGTTAAATATGTTTTTATTTTTATTCAGTTTTGGTTTAGTTTAGACAGTTTAGTTTTAGCTTTTATTTACTTGCAGTTAGTGATTTAGTGCTTGAACTTATTTCAGTTAGTTCGATTTTATCTTATTTCATGTCAACTTTATTTCAAGGAACAAAAGTGACTTATATTTTCTACATTTTGTTTTGTACTATGTGTCTTCTCAAGAAAACTACCGATTAGTTTTAGTCTACAGTATATAAAAAAAAGAATCGCAATGACAATAAAACAGGCTTAAGGAGGTTACATTTATTTAGTATAGCTATTATGTAGCATCTTCAACAGAGCAAATCTGGCAGAAGCACAACAAGCCACTAGCCATTTCTGAGGACAAGCACTATGGTCAAAGCCACGGCCATTAGGTCCTCGCTCTTGGGAGTCCCTTTGCATGCTGTGTCAAGTGGGGACATGTTAATAACATGCATAGGGCTTGGCTAATGGATTTAAGTTAGTTGGAGGGGAGGATGTACTACTGTATAATCTTACCTTCTGGAAGACAACAAAGAAATGAAACAAAAAAAAGAGATATGTAAAAGAGATAAATTAGATATGTGGCCACATAAAAAAAATACAATAAATAAAACAAAAAATGTATATGATGCACAATCTGTAGTAAAGTGTGTGTGATAAAGAAATTGCTATTTTAATAAAAACAATAATACTCTGTAAAATGACCTCACCTTATCTCCTTAAGCCTTTCTCTCTGAATCACTTGTAGTATCTCTTTATGACTCATCGGTGTGTTGGGGTACTTCTCAAGCACCTGTGAACAGTATTACGGAAACAAGTGAACAATTCAGCAGTGACTCAACCGCAGAGAAAGAATGAATTCGATCTGATGGTCAGTTAAAAAAGGAGGTTTGGTTAAACAGTAATGACTTCGAATTCTATCATTAGTTGACCTCACCGAAGCAGACAACCCTCTCTGTGAAACTGACCTACTTCTGATTGGGTCAGAGAAACATGTATAGCTTGGGTGAGAGAGTTACATTCAAAAGTGGTCGTGTTTCGAGAGTTTGGGAAATGCCAAGTGATCTGTGGCTTTTAAGCACACATGAAGTCAGCTGCTGGATGGAGGCCCAAGAGCTGCTTTACCCCTGCTGTGTCACACTGATGATGTGATCTCACGTCCTGCATTCATTTCAGTCATCCTTTACTTACTTTGGTCAGGAAAGTACATTTATTCATCCATGCATTTGCTTACACGAAACCCAGTTTCTTAGACACAAGGCACATACAATGGCACCACAATGTATCTGAAAACCAGTGATATTTTATTGCTATTGATGTACTACTATAGATTTTATTTTTTTTGTTTTCAATTTAATAATAGATAAAGTTTTAGCAATTGTGTTGCGTTTTGTCATTTAAGTTTTTTATTTTAGTTATTTTAGTACCGCAATTTAAATGAAATGAAAATAAGAAATATTGGCTTGGCAACCAGTTGAAATAAAATAAGTTGAACTTTTTGAATATTTTAATTTATTTCAAATGATGACTTTTTAGTTATAGTTAGCAATAACAGCCCTGCTGGACACTTCAGTCTCTCTTACAAATCTATGAATTTCACCATCTGCAATTAAATGATGTCAGACCTTTTCTCAGAAACAACTTTTCATTTCTGAGACATTTTTGCACAGCAGGTAGATGTATGAAGCCAGTTTCAAGTTCACACTAATTTGTTTTTTTAATGCATTTTAATAGGGTTTGATATTTGTTATTTAATGCAAAGACACACATGCATTTTAAGGGGTCCATTTAAAGATTCCACTTATCTTTTGTGGCCATGGTATTGAGTTTTATTATAGTAAAGTGTATTATAATATGTAAGAAACAGCAAATACCGGCATGAAAATACCTGCACATCTGTATTTCCCCCATAAGCCTCTTTTGTATGCTATATAGATCAGTTCGAATGGAAACATGCCTACCAATGACAGCTACTATTCTGTGTGCTTTATTTTTTTATTAATAATGGAAGATCTGACTCATTTCCTCAAATGAGTTCTTTCGAACAGTTCCTTAATTTTTTATTTTTAAAACAATTTCAGAGGTTCTTTATGTTGTAAAACTTTTGTAGGCTCATATTGTTGTTTTTTTCAACTGAAGCCATGATGAAATGGAAGTAGCAACAGATCTTTTGTTGTGTGTTGTGATTTACGTCTGAGTGCAATGGATTATTGAAACAGAAAAACCAAGTGGAGACTTGGTTCTATGCACTGGTTATTGATTGTATGTTGAGACGTAGGTGCTGCACTCAAAAGTGGACTTTTACACTTTAATTTTTGTGTTTACACAATAACATACTAAAAACTGAAAAGCAAAAATGTCCTTTGTGCTTTTTAAAAGTTTTGTGTACACATGACAGCATTTTCAAAACGATACCCGTTCACACGGATCGGCAAAAACGAAATGCTATATTATGTATGCCAGACCAGTAGTTGGCGATGTCACGTTGTAAATAAACACTACACGCCTGCACACATACCTGTAAACTGAACACACAATACGCATGCGAAGGACGTTACCATTTTTATACATTTGCATTTTTGTAGTTTAGACTGATGATAAGAGTATCCTTTTTAAAAACCTGCAGTTTGAAAACCATTAGATTTTTCAGGTCCCCAAACTGCCATTGGTGTGTAAATGAACAGCCAAAACACCTACAAGTTTTTCCATTTTTAGTTGAAAGCAACGTCGTGAAAATGCCCCTAAATGATTGGATACGTCCTGCATATGTCACCAAAGAGAAGACTGTTGTTTCTAGATCGAGTTTTTTTTTTTTTGTATCTACTGTTGGCTGGTACTCTGTTATATTGTATATTTATTTGTTGATTGATTAATTAATTAAATAAAGAACAGTGAGCTATTACATTTTGATTGCACAAAGTCAAAATTTAACATAGACTTAATAGACGTGGACTCAAAACCAGAGCTTTACTTTCACAAGTTAGATTACAGTGGTCAATAGATGGCTAATATATAAAAGGTTATTTACTTTTCAATGCATTTATGCCATAACAATACACTAAATAACAACACAAACCAAGTGGCATATTTTAATAGAAAAATGCAAGCAGACATTTCAAGTAAACATTGCACAAAACTAGTTTCTGGAGTTTTGAATTCTTGTAAAACAACATTAACTGTTTGGGCACATTCTAGTCACACTTAATGGTTCATGAACACGTTTAAAGGGGTCATATGATGCAATTTCAAATTTTCCTTTCTCTTTGGAGTGTTACAAGCTGTTCGTGCATAGATAAGATCCCTAAAGTTGCAAAGACTAAAGTCTGAAACCCAAAGATATATTCTTTATAAAAGTTAAGACTTGTCCACGCCCCCCTAAAACACGCCCCCACGTGTCTACGTCACTGTGTGAGAAGATTTGCATAACGCCACCCAAATGTTCACACAAAGAAAGAAGGCGTAACTTTTATTCTCGCTGTAGTATTGTTGTTGCCGCCGCCGCCATGTCGTGAAGGCGCTGTGTGTTTCGTTGTGAAAGCGAAACTACTTTGTTTGGCCTTCCAAAAGAGGACGATATCTGCTTCGTTCACCAAAGAGAAGACTGTTGTTTCTAGATCGAGTTGTTGGTTTTTTTGTATCTACTGTTGGTTGGTACTCTGTTATATTGTATATTTATTTGTTGATTGATTAATTAAATAAAAAACAGTGAGTTATTACATTTTGATTGCACAAAGACAAAATTTAACATATGCACGTATAAAGTCTTCACAATAAGACATATAAAATGAGTTTATAAAACAGATATGGATCATTTTCACTTCATGCCGACTTAAAGTTTTATTAATAGCTTATTTATTGTAATCTTCCAAGTTCAACATACTGCAGTGCAAACCTGTTATAACGTAGCCTACTTTTTTTAACTGTCATTAATTAGGAATAATTAATTAAATAAAAAACAGTGAGTTATTACATTTTGATTGCACAAAGTCAAAATTGAACATATGCACGTATAAACTCTTCACAATAAGACATATAAAATGAGTTTATAAAACAGATATGGATCATTTTCACTTCATGCCGACTTAAAGTTTTATTAATAGCTTATTTATTGTAATCTTCCAAGTTCAACATACTGCAGTGCAAACCTGTTATAACGTAGCCTACTTTTTTTAACTGTCATTAATTAGGAATTAGACACATGTGTGGGTGAGCGAATCAGTTTTAGAGTTAGACACGTCCAAAAAAGGTTTGCTTCAGAACAATTCGGAAACAAACGGTTCAGTCAGATTCGTGGTAAACCGATTCATTAAAAGATCCGACTGAAAATTGGTTCACAAGTCGGACTTCGCAAAACAGGTGCATAATCAGAAGCTGTAAACAAACGTGGAACTTTAGTTTGAAGACACTTGTATCACTTACTGTGCATCAACTCCGTATATGTCGCATATTACAGCCTGGGTCTAAAGTTATATTCAACAGCAATGCGGAAAGTTCCGCTAATTTAAGATATCATACAAAAACACGGACGCACAAAAGTAAACAAGCTGCGTTTGACAAGCTAGCGGTGTCTACCGACACACAATACTGCGATGATTATGATCTTTTACAGCAGAAAACACAGACGAATTCAAAAGTACAGTAATACTGTTGTGTCCTCGAGAGGTTAATGGCAGTGCTGGGTTGTTTATGCGGGTTTAGTTGAGCTAAGCTAACTGGCTAACAGCGAAGTGTCACTAGTCTATAAGCGCGCTAAGCTGCCTCGCCTGAGCTAGCAACTGACACGAACCGTCAAGCTACAGACGCTTCATGAAATCACTACCCAGATCAAAAGTTCCCAAAAATGTAAAGAAACCCGTTTCATGCATGCGTTATGTCACGCTTAGGCATTGTATGGATCTAAATGCACTTTAACAACGCCAACAGAAACCAGGCCCCGAGATGCATACGCAATCGGCTACACCAGCGGGTCATGAACTCATAAACACAGTTGTACAAGTGGGAGCACAAGGCGAAAACAAGCTAAACAAACGCTCAAGAAGTCTTCGGTTTTACCGTTTTGGCGGCCTCTGCCCACGTCCTCCCCTTTTTCTTCTTCTGTCTTTCCCTCATGTCTGCGGACGGTCGCGCAAAATCGACCTGGGTGCTGTAGAAAGTGTTGATATTGCTTTAGTTAACGTGCAAGACCTTCCATCTCTGCCATATTGGGTTTTTACTGTAAGAGACGAATCACGTGACCCTCTGGGAACCGTCATCTTACTGTACGATGATAGTTCAGGGGAAACCACCTACATAAGGCTTGTCTGGCCATTGTTTTCATTGTATAAACGTTTCGAACTCCAAAACAGATACACACGCTTACTCATAGTATCAATTTAAAGTGTTTATTCCGGTCAAATTACAAGCGATGCATGCAACAGATGCTATTCATAATCGTGGACTTAAAACAAGAGCTTTACTTTCACAAGTTAGATTACAGTGGTCAATAGATGGCTAATATATAAAAGGTTATTTACTTTTCAATGCATTTATGCCATAACAATACACTAAATAACAACACAAACCAAGTGGCATATTTTAATAGAAAAATGCAAGCAGACATTTCAAGTAAACATTGTCACAAAACTAGTTATGGAGTTTTGAATTCTTGTAAAACAACATTAACAGTTTGGGCACATTCTAGTCACACTTAATGGAACACGTTTAAAGTTAAAGATGCACTCAAGCATTCAAAAGTGCTCTTTTGCAAGCTAAAACATTGATTTATACATGAAATTAACAGCACTTTTGTTTAGCATTTATGTCATCAAACATATTGAGAGATATGAAGACTCATAAGAATATTCATATTAGTCTTTAAAAATATTCTACATAATGCAGGTCGCCCCCTCATGACCGGTGCCATATTAACAGTTTCGGTTATTAGATGAATTATGTTTAGTAGATTTACAATGATTTAATACAGTTACAGCATTTGATAGGCTACAGTTATCCACTGTAATTATGACAGTGATATATTTACGACAGTGAATTCCACTTACTTAACTAGCCTACACTCAAACAAAAATAAATACATAAAAATATTTAACACAATTTGATTTAGTTAATTCAAAAATAATCTTTTTAGTTGGCTTAGGTCTAATTAATTTATAGTATGTTTAAATTGATCTTCTTTTATCAAAATACATTTTCTTATGTGGGACAAACATAATTATTAATTTTATTATTATACATTTTTTAATTAATTGTTTTTATTTAATACATTCTCTTATTACATTTTCTGCCCACAGCCTAAGCACATGCAAGTCTCTTCAGCATAATGAACAAACCACAAAATTCAAAAACATTACAGAAACTACTCTAAATGTTCAGCATAACTAAACATTAAACACTAACATGGCTTTTACTTTATAAAAATAAATAAATAAATAAAAACCGCTTAATCCTAAATTTTACTCTCCTTGCAAAGCGTACTGGGAACTACAGATCCACGGCCCAGTTGTCAACGATTCATGTCGTTTAAAACACAAATGAATTGAGTAAACTCAAATTTTAAATATGTGGAGTGAACACAGTGCAATAAAGTTGTTCTAAAATATTCCAAATTGTGTTCCTTCATCACAATCAATCAGTCAATCAATAATAAAATGAGTGTAGGGGGCTCCAAGTCACAAAATACATACAATTCCATACAGCTGCTGTTAATGTCTCCATAAATTGCCGTTTGGAATGTGACATTTTTCTGCATGAAGGGTATCCACAGGATATTCAGTGAGCAAAATAAAGGGACTCTATTTTATCCACCAGGAATTGATTTGATTGTGAAAAGTTACATACTGTACCAGTATGTATATGCTTGCTAAAAACGGTTTATTAGTAGCTCCCTACTTAATATTACCCAATAGCCTAAGCAGCCTAAGTGCCATCAATTAAATAAAGTTATTAACTGATATCAGTTAATATGAGGATATCAAATCCCCTAAATAAACTAGAACATTCATCAAGGAAGTAAATAAGGACAGTTTTGATTTCATGTTGACCTTAAGGGTCCAAATAATATATAAGTATATGTATGTGCATTAAAGGTTAAAGCTTGCCCCTTGGCCTAATCCGAGCTTGTGATCAACCTCCCAGAGCACTAAAGCTAAAGTGGCCTACAATGGTATGTAACCAAGAGTCATATGATCTATGGTATACTGGCTTCCTTATTCAAACTCCCTCTGTGCTTTTTCTTTCATCTTTTACATGACCTTCAATGCAGATGCTGTTTGTATGAAGTCATGGTTTGATATTCACGTTTGTACAGTTCAGGATTGTATTTCTTGTTATGTGGTAAACATTAAGAGATTGTTTGTTTATGATCCATTTATTGTTCGCATTGCTGTTCAAGAATGACATCACAAGCTTAAACAGGATACACTAGCTTTTTCAAGTATACAGGAGACAGTTGTGCTTAAACCGACTAAGCTTTGATGCTAAAAAATCAAGATGATGAAAAAGACAAATGGGCTCGTTTAAAGCTCATGAAAACAGTGCAAAGAATAATTAAGTGCTTTCTATGCTTGCAGGCGTAACACACTGTACAGGCTCATGGCTGGTAGGCTGCTGCACAAGCCCCCATTGAGGCTGGGCATTGGGGCCCAGAGGCCATGGAGCTGGCTGATGAAGAAGCAGATTGACTTGGCCCTTGGTACCTTGACGAGGAAGAAAAAAACAAGGTTTAAACGTGGACAATTCATTTCAGCTTTCTGGGGAGCAGCTGAATAATAGATGATGTGCAGGGTACTCACCACGATCTGGCTTTCATGACACGGGATGCGGTCGTCCGCTTTCTGTAATGGCCAAAGTCACGTATCAAGTCTTGGGTCCTTATATCTGACCTCTGAAGGTCCAGGGGCACCATGGTAGGTGGAGAAATGTCCAGCTCCAGAAGCATAATGTTCTCAGCCTGGGACAAAAAAAAAATCTTTTTCAAGATTTGGCTAGATTATACACTACAGTTCAAAAGATTGGGCTCAAGTTTTTTCAATTATTATTATTACTGTTTAATAAGAAATTCATACTTTTATTCAGCAAAGGCACATTAATCAAATGTTACAAAAGATTTGTTTTTCAAATAAATGCTGTTATTTTGAACTTTCTATTCGTCAAAGACTCCTGAAAAAAATATATAATGGCTTCCACAAACATTAATTGCCTTAACACAATAATAATAAGAATTTTTTCTTGAGCACCAAATCAGCATATTAGAATGATTTTTGAAGGATCATGTGACACTAAAAACTGGAGTAATGATGCTGAAATAACATAAGTGATTTTTAAAAATAAATAAATGAGTGACAGCAATGTTGAATAATTATGACACAGCTGTATTACCAAAAAACGAGTCCTATAACTCAAAAATATTACATTATATACTGACATTATCACTTTTATTATGCCAGTAAACTGTTATAGATGCAATTTTTTATAAAAGTCTGGATCAGTCTCTGGGGGTTGAATAATTTTGATTGCAACTGTAAATGCATAAGTTTAAAAAATAAATAAATAAAAAAATTTAAAATCTTACCAACCTCAAACTTGATAATTTTGTGTTGCTAAATTCACTAAAATGTTATTACCTTAAAACAGTAATATATTTTATTCCATAATGACTGAAATTTTTAAAAATGACTTTATCTCTGTACAATACCAACCCTGTATCTAGAAGGAGACCCCATTGACACAGCAGCTTGAGCATATTGACTAATTGGTCTCTTGTGTCCCACTACAGAAGTTGGCCTTCGTCGGACGAGAGGGGAGTTACTGTAAAATGAGAGAAAATACAATATTGTAACGGGACCGACGAGACGTGAGGATCCATGTGCAAGCTTTTATTAAGAGACGTGGTTTTAACAGGCATGGGTCAGACAATGGCAAACGGGATTATCGAAGGCAAGACGAGATAAATCCAGGTAGAAGGCAAAGGTCCAAGCAGGGGCAAACAGAGTCAGAAACAGCAAGCAAAGGGTTAATCCAAGAGACGTGGTGTGAATCAGAGACCAGGAAAACAGAAAAGGCAAGACTCAGACTCAGACTAGACTAAGAAAACTTAAACAGGCTCGGTAAGGAACTATCCGCTAAACAGGGATACACGCAAAACAATACACAAGACTAAAACAGAAAACACGGAATGGCTCAGTAAGGCTGTTAACACTAGGGGAGTGAAAAATGCGGAACAATACTCGGCCGTGAGAGAGAGGAAGTCCATGGCTTAAGTAGCATGTCTGATTGGATTCAGCTGTGTGTGTGTGTGTGATCAGTGCATTCAGCTGTGTGCGTGTAATCAGTGCAATGGTTGATGGGAAATGCAGTCCAGGGTGATGTGTAACAGTCTGTGTGG